AAAGTGGCATAAATAGAAGTGGGGGAAATGGAGGAAAGAAAGTGAGGGGAAAAAGTGGAGCTTGAAGGGTGGAAAAGCAGGGATAAAACCAGTATCAGTTGAACAATAAAACTATTATTTTGTTGATAAGTGGCTAATACATAGGTGGAAAATCAGCAAGAGGAGGGAAGGAAGAGTATTGGAGGTGGAATCTGAGAGGAGAATGAAGCCATAAATAGGTTCTGAGGAACTTGCTCTAAACCAAGTAAGTGTTCTGTTGGTAGCACGCTTTTCAATCAAAACATAAATGGATGAAAAGTTCAGGGTAGGGTGAGGTGCGGGTATTCTCCAGATATAATAGAGGAGATACCACTTTGAAAGGCATCCTCTTTCAGAACCAACTGTACTGTAGGTACAGCTGTAAAATTACAGCAAACAAGATAAAAACATGTCATTTCCTTCGACTAGGTCAGGTTCTTTCTTTCATGCAAGTGTGCGTGGAGGGCTTTTGTGCCTCTATCCAGCATCGTGTCTATGAAGTGCCTGGCTCCTGGTGGGTTTAATGCAAATTAAAACTGTGGAAGAAAAATGATTGCTCAGCCACATGCCAAGGGAGATTTCTCTTTTAAAGAGAAGTTATATGATGAAACAGAAATTGGAAAGTAAATGTCTTAGGTTTTGACCTGCTGGATCCTGATGTTCGTACTCTCTTGCACAAGCAGTTCTTGTCCATGCAGTAGTGCTGTGAGAATCCAATGGATGACTTCTGTGAATACAAATAACTCCTTAAGAGAGCTGTGAGAACGATTCCTGCAGCTTTGTGCCCGCAAAAAATTACGGAGGGCTTTGGGGAGAACAGGTTACATCTCCGAGAAGCTGATTTTTTGCTGATTATTTGCACGCTTCATATCCTCAGGAGTCAGCCTCCAGCATTTATGAGAACAGAATTTGTGAGAAACTTGAATTTAGTTTCTGTACATCAAAAGACGCGTGTGAAATTTTGCTGAGAGCAATTGCTCTTCTTATAATGAGATGCCCCAAGCAATCACTCGTTCTGGCTTTATTGGACCTCATTTATGTTTTAAAAGAAAAAATGAGACACTAGGTCATTTCTGCTCCCGTTTCCCTTGGACTGTATTTCTTTACATTGATGGGTAGTTTTATTAAACTTTAAAACTAGAATGGGGTAGGTTTGCTAACCTGTGATTTAAATTCCATGCAATATGCTACGTAGGTAAAATTGTACTATACATTTCTGTTTCAGGGCCATTCTTTAGGTTATTATCTCTTCATGCCATTACTTAGGGGTTTTACTGTGAGATTTTCCAGAGTGATATAGATGATTAATCTTTAAGGTTATGTAAAATCCTTTTTTTTAACATGACTGTAGTTTGTTAGAGTTTGCCTGTAATAAATGACTATTTGGCTCTATAAAGAATTTAGCACCTAACAGTAATAAACCTTTTTTGGAATGGTCTTTGTAAGGTAGCTGCCCAGAATCTAGCACAGAAGAGAGGAAATTCTGATCTCTGTTTAACTGATACGAAATAAAATGGACCTTAGTGGAAAGCCCAGTTCACCAGGTGCTCCTGGTTTATACCAGTGGAGATAGGAGTTGAGCCCGCTATGTACTCTGTGTGATCTGTGATGGGCTGGAGTCTTAGCTGGAGTAGACAGGGCTTCATTCTCTGCAACAGACTTGTATCTCCTTATAACTTGCTCTGCGATGAGGTCTTTGACTCGTACCTTTTTTTAAATTAAAGAGTTCAACTTCTAGTCTCACCCATTTGAGTGCTTTGAAGGCCCCTTCCCCAATTTTTTCTATGTACATGATGCTTATTGCATTCTACAAAAAAAATTGGTTATTTTTTACTGTAGGATATTGGTGGACAATCCGTTCAAGTGTTCCTGTGAAATTATGTGGATCAAGAAATTTCAAGAGACCAAGTTCTACACAGAAACTCAGGATTTATATTGCATAGATGACAACAACAAGAGGACAGCTTTGCTGGATATGAAGGTCCCAAACTGCGGTAATACTCCTTTAACCTAAAGTTATTACTAAGTTATTGTGAGACAGGAAAAGTAAACATTGTTTTCTACTAGCTGCCTATTAAGATGGTAACAGTGCTGCTAAGGTAAAAGGTTTCAGAGGAAATATTAACCATTCACTGATCTTTCATGCCACCTGGAATAATTTCAGGAGCTTCATGTCACACTTTTTTTTTTTTCTCAAACCTTTAAAATTTACTATTATTCAAGTGCAGGAAAACAGAACATCAGTTATAGGTAACACAAAAGAATTGTATGAAATGTGTGCCTTCCTTAAACCAAACAGTAGTGCATCTGAGATGAACAGACACAAAATTTTATCTCCTTGAAATTTTGTTCAGCTATCTGAGCTTAATGAAATCCTTGTTTTCCTTCAAAAATACAAACTCTGCTGCTAGGAGCACAGAAAGAAAATTCAGAAAAACTGTGCCTGCTGAAAAAGTTAGCAAATAGTTTTCTGTTTTTCACACAGATAAAACTCTACTGAGACCACTACTATATTCTGTGCAAAAGAGACGTTACAAGCCTAGTCTGTAGTATTTTGCAGTTTATTACTTTCAGTAAGCTTGTATGGGTTTGGAGACGGCGGAAGAGTGATGTAATTACAAGCCATCCCCTTGCTTTTTTTGTATACAACTTTGCTTCCTGGAAATTGTCCTGGGACAGCTGGTGAAAGGCTTCACCCACGAGTGGAAAAGATTTCTCTTCCTCTGAAGCCGAGGGGCAGAGCCTGGGCATTTCAGATGCAATGTGAACCCTGCCGAAAGCCCGGAGTTTCCTCTGTGGAGCGGAGAGCCTGGGTGCTCGGCATCAGACAGACGAGAAGGAAAGGACAGAGTTTTCTCACACAGCAGTGAATTGGATTGGGAAAGCGGTATGCAAAGGTGAATGCAGGAGGAACAAACAAATTCTGCCTTTCTTCCTTCCAACGTCCCCTCTTGAGTGCCCTGAGTCGATATCTCTGCAGCCAGCCGACTGCTCTGGCTGGAGGGACTAGAAGGCAGATTCATGTCCTGGTCTCCTGGGCAGATTGAGATCACTTGGCACAAAACATGGGAACACCAGAGTAGCCTCTGGTTAAGTCCTTGTCTAGTGTGCTTACAGATTACCAGGTAGCAAGGATTTTCCTTTGGAAATTCTCAGTGTTACATGCACAAACTTAAACCTGTATCATGTTATATCTTTCTCCTGAATCCTTGAGCGTTTGCAGCACCAGCAGGCTTGTTTCTGACCTCTTGATGCTGTGTAGGTGCATGTGTGTATGTATGTGCACATCTCATGGGCAAATCTCAACTGAAATGCCTGACTTGAGAAGGGAAGATGGCACTTCCAGCATGGTGAGGAAGAGGACAGGAGCTCTTGGCTCTGAGCGTATGTGACATTCAGACAGGAGAACCAGTATGTGGAATTTACATATGGGAAATGTGGCTTTTACTGAAGAACTATATGAATGTCAGCATAGGCCTGCAGATTATTCCCACATTTGATTTAATGTTAGTTTACGTTATCCAAATATAAGTAGGTTTTACACACGTTTGTGTTTCTCTCTCTCTCCCTCTCCCTCTCCCCCCCCCCTCCTTTTAAAAGGTAAATGACAACATAGCCATTTCTTAAGGACAGGATAGGGAGTCATTGACGAAAACAAATGATAATCTTGATGAGTATGGCTTGTGCTCTGGAAGATATCTAAAAGATCCACTGCATGGCTGTTGTTTTCAGCATCTCTGGTATTATATTTCAGCATCTCTGGTATATATTTCTCTGTTTAAAAGCACAGGACTTAATTTCCAGAAAACCCATTGAATGAGTTGTTTTATTTCACTTCTAGCACAGTTTGAGAGGCTAGTAAGTGTACCTGAATAGAAGAATTCAGCTTTTTCAGTCATTGCATTTTTCTTCTGTGAACTGCATGTCCCTTTTAGTTACTTTTGATGCCAAGAGGTTTTGGGCCTGCAGCCTTTGTGAATTTTGTTAATAAAACATTTCTAACTTTTTCTACTGATGAAGTGGTTTGTCCCATCTCTCTGGTTTGTTGAGTTTTTTGATTTAGGATCTGAGCAAACAAACATGCTCATTTTTTCTTGCAGGTGTTATTAATTACTTCATAATATTATAGTAAGTGGCCTGAACAGTATGTGGTAAAAGTCTTGGTAATAGGACAGCTCGCTACTGTGTGCTGATAATAAATCTCTGGCTGGGTAGTGGGAAGAGACCATTGTGGTTTCTTGGTCGTAAGGCTCTGGTTTGCAGGTAATTGATGTGAAAATTAGCAGGGTTCTGTGGTACTTTACTTATTGTTTATATGGTGGAAATGTTCGTTAATGTGCTGATTAAAGGCTGGTTGCAATCTAGATTCCAGCAACTTTGGGATTTCTTTTCCTGAGGTTTACAATTATGTAGGTTCAATCACTAAAAAATCCTTTTGAACTACAATATTAAAAGTGTCAATCAATCGTTATGATATTTGCAGCATTATTTTTTCAACTGCATTTGAAATGTGTTTGAATATGATGAAAGTTGTTGAATGGGTTTCAATTTTAAAATTGCACTTAATTACCACGTCAAAAGTTTTAAAGTTGCATCTGCCATTGTATTATGAGAAGACCCTTCTGTGTAGAGAAATTATGTTTACTTTAGCAGTATTTGCTGGTGGTCCACACAACATGCTATAGGCTACCTAGACCTTACCTCTCTTTTATTTCTGGCTGGCAAATAGAATTAGAAAATTTAGAAAGAGAAGTAAATACTTTGTTCTCATTTCTATTTCTGTAAGTGACAGCTGCAATTGCCCCGGCATGTTAAGTTACTGGAAAAGAGGATGCTCTGTGCATGGTTAAGGTCGCTTGTAAGTCAAGTCAGTCAGTCTAGCAGAGTTCACCTGGAGCTCATTGAATACGGCAGAGACAGGGTCAGATTTTCAGGAAGCTGGGACTGGTTGTTCCTTCTGGTAGGGATTTGATCACTCTACTGCTGTTGTTGAACTCATTGGTACTGAAGATGCCTTTTTCTTGTGGTATATTTGAGAGTGGCCTGGCTTTTACCGGTTGCCTGTGCAGTCCCATGTGGATGTTTCTGTTGCTGTGGACCTCAGCCCAGCAACAGTTTTCCCTTATATGCCAGTTGAGTTAATCAGACATGCTGTTTTATGTTTGTTGGTGTGGTGCTTTCAGTCTTGCTTATCCTCGCAGTCTGTATGTTTATTTATCATATATTGTTTCTGCAGATGTTGTCCGTCTTGCCATTGGTCATATATGCAAGCTAGAGTTTACTGACCAAAGTAGCAAAAAGTACATGAGACTAGTTTGTTGTACATGTCCTATATACATTACCTGTGCAGCCAGTCAGATATTGGGGACCTTATCTGACCTAGGAGCTGTAGGTTTCTATGAATGCAAACTTTTTTTTCTCTGTCTTCTTACTTGTGCATTAATGCTGTGGAGGGCGGGCTTTGCTCTTGGTGCTGCTTCTTGTGTAACTGACAGTATTTTGGAAGTCATTACTGTCTGTGTACAGTTATGAGCTAAAGAAGCACGTTGCCTGTTTCTTGCTTTGCTTGTAAGCCACAACATTTTTGTAGGCAACTGTTCAGCTGATTCTAAACAGACTGGACTGGGTCTGGCTTTATTTCAGTCTGCATTTGTGGTGATAGATTTTTGTGTTTTTCCATAAGTAAGACGGAAATACCAAATTGGAGGCAGGTATTTACAAATTCTAAGGGGGGAGAAAGCCAAGCTGGAAGACTGACATTTTTATTTCTCTGAATTTATAGAAAATATTTGTAGTATTAGTGAGTCAATAAAGAAGTGTTAGATCTTAAGACAATCTGAATACAGCACAATCTAAAACCCCAAGCAAAGACATAATCCAGTGGGTGTTGACATCTTTTTCCATTATCAGCCAGACTTCACAGATAAGACTATCAAAAGGAGAACATTACAGGCAGAATGAAGTGATTTTAAAAAAAGCCGTAGACGTTTTCTATATTTACCTTTCAGAGCATTCGTGGTTTCTCTAGCCTGTGTTGTTTATTTTGGCTCGAGAACTAGATATATGCATGAGGTATGGTGGCAAACTGTTCTTACTTTCTCTATAAGAGTTTTAATTCTTATCTGTGATCATGAGCTGCATGAAAAATGTTTTTTATGGGAGTTTTGACAGTAGTAAGGGTTTACACTGTAGCTCCGAAGTTGAGTTAGAATTTTCCCAACTTAATTAAGAGAGTTTTCATTATTCTCTCTTTTTAAGTGAAAATAACTAATAATTTATGGATATTTGAAGAGGCAACAGAAATCTCATTTTCAAAGGCACATACATAACTTCTTTGTGTTTATGCATCCTTTGATGTGCTGATGAAGTGGCCAATAACTTCCATAGTGATGTCTAGACGTATGCTATGCAAGTCAGGGCTTATCGGTCAGGATGGTTGAGTATATGCTGTGTATATGAAAGCCTCATATTTTAAGAAAAAGCAGAAATTCATTTTATAATTATGATTTGATCTCTACATTAGCTTGAAATGAAGCAAATTTACAATACAAAGCAGTTAGTAATAAAAAGAAGTAAGATGATATTTAAGGGAAGAAATGTGTCTTGATCGTTCCAGTATTGTTTCTGAACTCGGTGCGTTGTTGAGGTTTGCTGAGTTGCTCTGTGGCTGACTTGGCCTATCTGTATAAGTGGGAGTAGCAGTGTTGATCTACTGAGGGAAAAGTGCTGTATGACTGTGAGCTTCTTGCTCTACTTTTGCAATGTAACTAGCTCGAGACTCATGATTAGATAACTGTATTTCTAATAGTCTAAAGAAATTATGTTTTTACTTAAAAAGTGGAGACAATTCATGAAAGCATCCTTTCAGCAGTATGCAAATTTGATATTCAGGGCTGAAACCTATTAATTTTACTAGTTTATCTAGTCTTCTCTTACCCCAGAATGTTCCTGTTTAAGGATCTCATGTTTCTCCTGTTGTAATATTTGAGAGTAC